ATGTCGAAAATTTTTCTGGCCAGAAAATTTTTCTAGCCAACTTTATCCCGGTCACGGCCTCCCGCACGGCCCGCACGGCATCGCCTACCCGGCACCGCCTCGCCTCCCGTTCATTGTGGGGGCACCTTGACACACGGTATAGCTAAAATATTACATAAAAGGAAATAATTCAGAGTGATTTCATAATGTCCCTTTCACAAGTTTCATTTATAATTTACTGACCTTTCGGCATGTCGGACACTTCCTTCTCAAGCCAGGATTCTGAACACATTCCTTACAAATGGTGTGTCCACAAGGCAAGCATTTGGGACGATGAGTGTTCAGGTCGAAACGGAGAAAGCATATGTCACACTGTGGAGCCATCTAAGACAAAGTTTGAAAAAAAAAGGGGGGGGTCACACTTCTAGTTCAGGAGAAATTTTTATATCAAAATGAGCTGCCCTTAAAACAGAAGTATCAATTGATGTTTCTAGGGTCCTCAGCCCTTTCAAAACAGTCATGGAAAACATACCCGAAACCTGGAAACAAATTGTGATTTGTGGCTTTTACAGCAAATAACTGGATGTTTTTTGACAGTCCAATTCCAACTTATCTTGGCAAATCAGTGGACATGGACATGAGGCCCCCCAAGCAACATCCTTAGAGTAAATAACTATAAATGCAAGCAAAAGCCAACAATGTACGATATCAAGACACTTTGATTTACATCAAACAATCAAACGCTTTGCCTCTTTCAAATATAAACAACAGATAGAAAGCAGTATGAAAGAAGGAGAGCTACTACACGTTTGTTTCACTGGCTGTCGACTTTCTTGTCAATTATAGTCCTTGATTATTTCCTCAGCAAGTGCAAAATTGTTCTGACAACATATCTATGAACATTTCTAAGCCATGATATTCTAAACCAAAAATGCTATACAACAATTTTAGCAAGAAACAAAAGCACTGTTCACATCCATCATCAATAGGAAAATCTATTTCTAAAATACCTTAATTTGTTTGGCAGCTCAGGTAAATCAAAATCAAAACAAAAAACAAACCAACAAAGATAAACACCAACCATCAATCCAAAGTATGAGAATTTCTGCAAAGATATCTAACTAACTATTTTCACTTTCGCTTATGATCTGCGTGATCGTATGATAATATGCTGTATGAAAGTGAAAAATGAAATTTTAGGTTGATGTTCGGAGACTCAAACTTTCTAAAAAATTAAAATCTATTTTGGTAGTTTTTTTACCCAACAATTTCTCATACTGTACGTCACACCCCTCATCCGCGGCATGTTTTCGATTTACCGATCAAACCTAACCAAACCAGATGCCGGAGTTTTTACCGTTCTTCTCCAACTTTAAATTGTTGTTTTGACGTCTTTCGTCGTCGTGAGCTTGCTTTGCTGTTGTACTTGCTGTAGAGCACACTACGCTTGCCTGTCAGTTCCGGAGAGGTTTTGAGGTTGTCCAGTTTAGTGCGGATCCGGCGCGGATCCGCACGGATTCCGCGGAACTTGCATCCGCACGGATCCGCATATCGGGAGAGGAGGGGAGGGCTTGAAATAAACGTTTTTCTACTTAGTAACACTACAGAAATAAGTTGGCATACACATATTTTTGATAAGAGGGCAGAAATGATCAATATTCTGTCATTTGTACATGCATGTCGAGCCGGGCGCGCGGCCCATAGCGTCCAGCCCCGGGCCGACATGCGTGTACATATGAGCTTTGTTCTCGAAAACTAGAAGTCGTATCAAAGTGCGGTAAAAAGCAATGTAAAGTTTAAGGTCTGGCGGAAAATC